CAGTTCGTGGGAAATGTCAAAAGTTCTGACACAGTAAGCTTCTTAATTGTATACATATTTGTTAGCCGATCTCATAAAATTATTAAGCAGGCACTTCCAATACTCTATCGATATATTTAAATTGTTTTGAGCCCATTCGCTCACTTTATTATTATCATTATTTTTATTATTATTATTGTTATTATTATTAATATCATTATTGTTATTATTATTATTAATTATTATTATTAATTATTATTATTATTAATTATTATTAATTATTATTATTATTATTATTATTATTATTATTATTATTATTATTATTATTATTATTATTATTATTATTATTATTAATGTTATTATTACTATTACTATTACTATTACTATTAATTTATTGTTGTTGTTACTAATTTTGTTGGATTAACAAGTTTAATAAGAAGAAATTGCAAAAGATAAAAAATGATTAATTGATGTAATTAATGGCTAGTTTGATTATTCGTTAATTTTTCTTCAATTTTTGATAATAAAAAAATCCCATGGAAAAATGAAAAAAATATGAAAATAACGACGTACCGTCCTCAAATAACTACTTACGATGGAAAATGTTGTTGTCATCAGAATCATGCCCCATACCAAATAACATATCATAGCAATTAAACGTAACGGATTATCCGCTGTCGGAAATTTATCGCCAAATCCGACAGTAGCAAAACTGATAATACTAAAAACTTCCGACATTGTATTTGAATAAATTGTTGAAGATAAGAAGAATAATATCACTGTAAGATAGTGTGATAGGTTTGAATCTAATGGCATTTACCTGAAATATACGTCGTCTACTGAGAAGCCTCTTCCTTTCTGATAAAACAGTATCGAACCAAATGCGAATGTTATTAGGAATAGAATGATAATTGTCGGTAATGGCATCTTTGCGTTCTCACATGGTCGCCAGCGCATTTCCTAAACAAGTTTCAAGTTGATACTTTCTTTATATGATTGGCAGGTAAACATGGGTAAGTATGAGTACCAGCTGAGCTTTTATTGTGAACTCAGTTACAGCATTAGGCTCATTTCGTTGTAGCCCAAACTTGATTTGAATGTTAGAAAAGGGAAATAATTATGGCTTATAAATGAAAAGTAAAAGTGAGACTTTTCTAGTTAAATTTTTCTTCTTTTTATTTCGTATTTCCTGGATTAGCTATGAATCCAGGATTTAAAGAAAATAACTGACCTTACCAAGACAGACTAGCGCCATCCAGTAACTCTTTGTTAGGTATTTTCCAAGATTCGCCAATGTTAGCAAAGTCATCGGAATGCCAAATATTGAAAAAGCTATGCAGAACAATTGCGCCCATGGCGTTGATGGTGTAATGTTGCCATAACCTGTAATTAGTTGGAATCGACCTAGGATAATGTTTGTTTTTACTTCCCAGTTGTCATTACTAGTTACACCTTGCAGCATCAAAATTCGTGATTGAGATTTTCATGTAATATTTGTAAGCCAAATGTTAGAAAAAAGATAAGAAACCTATTGTAGCAATAGTAGTGAATGAGAATAGAATAATATCTGTGAAATTCTCCTTGGCTAAATTGTCATCCAGAATGACAAACATCGCTGAACCAAATAAGACATATGCAATGAGCAATACAATAATAAGCATTTGAGGTACCACTACCCGTAAAACCTGAAAACAAATTTCTTTTTTGAAATTCAAGTTTTGTTAATCCATCAGGGATTGCTAGTTACCTAGTTACCGTTTTAAAATAGAATGGGAGAACATACTTTGCAATTCTGTAATTCAAATTTGACAAATTTTTGATATTGGAATAACAAGTTCTGTATAACATATATTTGACAAACTTTTGACTTTTAAAAAATGAATTTACAATAACAAATAATGTTAACATATTTATTTAATGTTGATATGATTCATTCTGATAAAACTGTTTTGAAGAAGTTAACTTGAAATTTTTGAATAATTCAATCAACAAACGAGCAAGCAAAATGAAACCAACAAAAAGCAATGGATAAACTGATACACCCAAACGAACATTATTCATTCTTTTGGTGCTCAAAATTTTAAGATTAAAATTATCCAGAAATTAAATTTAAAAGTTGTTTTATAACCCTCCGAGGCGATTATGATATTTACAGCAAGTAAGCCAATTGTGTTTTAGCAGTGGCAATGTCACAGCATGTGGAAGACGCCAGAAACTACATGGTAGTTCGTAAACAAAGCTCTTTATTTTTAAATTTGGTGAGTTTAAATCGAATTTCACGAAAGCATTGAGAAGTTCGACTCTTCGATTAAATTTTTAACTTACACTTAATAATCATGTCTTTTTTTTCATTTTAATGTTTTATTTCTGTCGAATAAACAAACGAACCTCGTGAGAAATTTATGAATGTTACGATTTGATCTTCTTGTATAATGTGTCCGTTATCAACAACTTTTAATCACATATTTTAAATCAAAATTAGAAAAAATAAATTTAAAATATTTAAATTGATAGCATCAGATACTATTAATAATTGTGAAACGAACCGTAGAACCCCAGAAATCGAATTTTAAGTTTGGCAAATTCATATTTCGTCTTTCTTTTTGCTCAGCTTTAATTCCATGAGCAATATAATTGTGTTTCTTTACATCTAATTTCGGAGCGAAAGATGCTGCAGCATACTAAAATTGAGTATTAACATATTTCAAAACTGAACTGATACTTAAATATTAGACGTATGCTGAACATGGAATATATTGTAATATTTAATATATTTGATGAATTAATAAACTAACGTAGTAAGAATTTATTCAAAAGAATCAGAAACGAAATGAAATAATTCATCTCTTCGTTTTTCAAAAGTTAGTAATAATATTTGCGAAAAGTTTGAAAGATAAAATTTTATGTCATATAGTCAATCACTCGTTTGTAATACAATTTACAGCAAATGTTGGCAACTTGCTTACAATATTCCTTGAACTTCTAAATTGATTAAATTTTTCAATTTCAGTTGATACCTATTAAAATTCATGTAAAACTCTGTTATTAAAAAATAAAACGAAATAAAATTGCTACAATAATCGATGAGTGATAAAAAAGGCAGAAAGGTAAAAAGATCAATTTTGGCAGTAACGTTTGTTTAATTTTAATAGATCGACAAAAAAAATGAATGTTCATCGTTTCGAAAACAGGTTAGAGAAATGAAGTGAGAGCTGTGTGAGACGGCCTCTTTTTATACTTTACATTTCATTTTTATCAGCTGATTGACATGACTCATCTTTGCTTAGAGGTATATTGATACCTGGAAGACAATTATGGTGTCATTGGTTATTTAACCCAAATTATTATTTCATATAGACTCTAGTTCCTTTTTTTTCTATTTCATCCGAAAATTTATTTTAGGATTTTATTGAAATTTTGAAAATTTGGGAGTTATTTTAAAATTTTCAACCAAATGCAACTTGTAAACATATATTATAGCTTTAATTTAAAATTTTAACCCTTATTATAACCTGAATGCCATTTTGAATCACAAATTTAATATGTAAAACATCTGATTTAATTTACTGATGTCTTGTCATAATGATGAGCAATTATCAAATTACAATAAAAACAGTAAATAAGAAACATCATGTAAAATGTACGGTCAGACGAAAGGATTGTTTATTTGTTATTTAGAAATATCATTTCGAAAATTTATTTCTCATTTTGAAAAATTCATTGATTATGAGAAATAGGAATTTATTTACTGGAGAAATTGAAATGCTGTAGTCTGATTATGCCCAGCCTCACTCTAGTTTATTTCATTTCTTTTTTAATTCTATTTTTAATATATTTTGTATGAAGGCCGGTATTCCTGAAGTAATTTTCAAAATATGAATCATTATTTCTATGTGACTGAAATATTTCCCGTTTTCCTGTTTATTCTCCACAAAAATTTCTGTAAGAATTCTGTTCATATATCATTTTTGTTTATATTCACTACAACATTACTCACATTTGCTGCATTAAATATTTCCAATAAATTTTCAGAGAAATATTCTGAAATCCGAAAAAGTTGTATCCTACTAAATGTTACAAATGAAATTTACAAAAACTTCAACTGTTGATGAACTCATTTCACCATACTTTTCTAAGACGTAAAAGTTTACCGTTCATTTCTCATTTGTTTCTATAAATTAATTATGCAAAATGATTTTTTCCTTTTAAAAAAAAGTAATTTCAAAATGCTTTATATGTAATGGAAGGCAGTACTGTTCCTTAGAACAACTTATAACTGATTAGTGCTGTGATATATATTATAATAGTATTTTGATATATAAACATTCCTTAATCGCTTTTTTGTTGAAATCAAATTAGTTCAAACATTGTGCCAATCATATATCTTAGCTTTGAGTTTTAGAAAAATGTGAACTATTTTCTGAACGTCTTTAAAAAAATAGAAAATGTCTATCAAATTAATAATCGCAATTTGATAATGAAGGAATATGATTGTGCTGAAGTTGAATCAACTTTTTGTTATTCATATCATATATCAATAGTTATGTTTGGACTAGCAGTGATAAGATCACACGTTAAATTTTTCATTGAATGCAATTAAGTGTAATATTTGTTGGGCACAATAATCTAAAGTTATCTGTTCGAAATGATAACAATATTGATGTAAAATTTGAAATTAGCGGCTTAAATGATATGAAAGTTTTGAAGATTACACAATAGTACCTATTCTCAATTAATTAACAATTAATAAATTAGTTAACAATTAGTTGACACTAACATTAACATTTGAAAACATTATATCTTGTCCAGCCTTAAAAAAATGTTTTTATTGCTACTGTTCAAAAAGTTAGTTTGATAAGTGAAAATGAAGGGAGTACATATCAGAAGCCCTAAGGTCGGGAGTATATCAGAATTAAATAGTTTGTATAGACCAATGAAGAACTACAAATACATGAATTTCAACCATTCTGAATTAATGGATATACGGTTAACCGGTTTGTATTAAAAATGAACGAAAGCGAAAGAATAATAACAGCATGAAAGACAGCATTCAACAGTGGAATATGATTATCATTAGACGGAATAATTTGTTTCTGTACCACTTTAATTAATTTGGAAAGAAAAAAACAAAGATCGTATGGATTGAAAATTATATTGCCACAAATTTTACATTAAATCAATGGAATCGATAAACAGATGCTATTTTTAGAACTATCAAAACATCCCTCTTTGCTTTTTCCTTTATAAATCATTTTTGATATTATATTATTGCAAACAAATTTGTCACCAATTCACGATCTGTGGGAAATTTTTTAACAAAAAACTGCAGATAACTTATTTTCTACGTTGAACAACTATGTCATCAATTGCAGAAATTTTCAATTTTGTTAGACATTCTAGGTAATATAAGAATGTCAATTATTTATCTATCCTTGAATTTTTTCACACAATATTTTAATGTCAAGTTACAATAACTATATGCCGATATCCATTGGACAGTTTATTATTATTTTTGTTCCTTTTTAACGTGTATGTTGACATCGAATGAAAAAATTTGAAAATGTCTCACTTAAATTCAGTTCCGCAAAATTCAAATCAATTAAATTCAAATTCATTTCATCCATTTTAAATCTTTACTCTTATTTTGTCATCTCGTATATCGAGATGGACCAACACTTGGCATCTCCTCTCATTCGTTAATACTATCCCTGTCTGATTGCTCATCGCTGAATTAACCTATGCTTAAATTCTTACAAGATTATTAGCTAGCTATATCATTTCTTCTCTTTTAACTTCACCGTAACCAACATTGCTGCCAATGACATAGCAGTGAGTTACCTTAGATGTGAATAAATTTTCGAATTTCGAACATTTCGGAACTAGTTATAATCAGTTAAACTAATTATAATCAGTTTGTATCTGTTCTGGCTATAATTTATTATAGCTCACAAAAACAAGCGTTTCACTACAGTGAAGACTCTTTAGTCTTGGACAATTCCATAGACTTGAAAAGGTATTCAAGGCCAGTGTATTACACACAAATTAGTAATAAGTGATAATAAATGATCAATAATGAATGACCAATCCGTGGTGATGCGAATAATTAGTAAATAGTCGAAATCAACAATCCCAATTCCACATTAATTTAACAAAACTGACATAGAGAAAGATAGACGTTGATGGTAATTGATACTAGGATCAAACCAGCAACAGCAAGACTTAAAGTTTGACTTCCCACCAACTAAACTAACAAGTGATGCTTACATACGTCTACTTAATTTTAATATCTGGCCTTTTTGTATGAACATCAATCCATAAAAGCAATATTTTATGTTGGTGTAAAAGTTCTACGACTCTCAAATAAATAAAAATTTTCTGCTGAAACTTTCTCATCCTTCTCTGGTACAACAATAAATTTTCAGTTGGAAGACAGGAGAAAGGGCATAGCTCTAACGTGATAAGTTTCGGTTGAAAAATCTGTTATTTTAACAACAGCTCAATAATAATAGATCATATCATCCTTAACAGTTATGTATCATACTGCAACTAAAAACGCCCATTTTTTGCTTATTTAACATAAGTCATAGATAATTCGAAATTTTTTCATCTAACTTGGAGCTCTGGTATATTCTACTCACTGCTTCTGATGTCCGGAATACCATTTTTAAATACTAAAAAAGGCAGTCGACGATATCAAGATCCGTGATACTAACGAGTGGACTGAGAAACTGTTCTACAGACAGACATGAATGAGGAAGAAACTAACCAACTATAACTACCAAATCCTCACCATTTAAAACTTTTCCTCATAGAAATCACTAGCTTTGAAATATCATTAGAATTTCAAGAAAAAGACCCACAAAACTTGGTTGCAGTTCGAAATATTAAAATCACTGATTTAAAAAATCGAAAAAGTCTCTGTAGTTTTTCAGTTGACCAATACACAGCCTGCATATATTTACAGTGCAGTTTCATCTTCTGAAGTGTCCACTTTTTACTACACAATACTGATAAGCTTCCAAATTACTGGTCACGTTTTTTACATCACATACTACAAAGTTTATCACAAGTATTCTTGCAAAGAGTGTATAAAAAAATTACAGAAATATAAAATACGCATGTTTTCCATCTTCCATGTCATATGTAAAAGATACGAATCTGCGATGTGCTCACTAGCAAATTATCATCGTAAAATCTCGTTTCGATTATCACATTGCCACTGCAACTATTCTATTATCAAATTTCAAAAATCAATAACAAAATTTCACTAAATTTCGTTCAAGAGCAAATTAGCAATGCATTCAACGGAATGTAAGAAGCACATAAAGAACGACCGCACGAAGTGTTACTTCGCAAATGCGAAGACGTATACTAACCATTATAAGAAGCTGCTCCCGTCAAATAGTTTGATTTACTTGGTAATTTAATTTTCAACAGCTTGAAATACAAGTAAAATAAAAAAACACGTCCTTACGGATTTTGAAATTTATATTTAGAAGACACAAATGTAAGGATCTAATGGATAGTGTGCACTTACCTTAACAATGATGCAGGAAGCATTTGTGCTTCTGGTGCAGCTTCGATCAAATTCTGCCAAGTATTAGTTGACTGCGGTATCACAAATCCAAAATCAAAGAACCATTCTATAACAATAAAGTAAAATGGAATAACCAGGAAACACTGAGGAGGAAAGCTGACTCATTCATTTCTGGGAAAGATTCAAATTAACAAAGAATGAGTAAAATTGTGAACGATGCCATATCCGGAAGATAGTTTCTGTTTCCCTTTACTTATATAATAGAAGTGACCAGCAATATGGGAATCCAGAACTTCTTATTCATATTTCAAAACATCCTTCCATTCTTCTGATATAAATACCTTCAATAATGTCGCCTTTTAGGTAAACACGTTGTTCTAGCCGAAATTTATTTATTTTCTCGGCTGAAGTGAAATTTATTTCACGTGATACTGCCCGACATTTCAAAATACTTTTTGGCACACGAGCTGCAATATACCATTACTAAAGAATTTGAGCGGAAGATAATTAAATATCAACAATCAAGTTAATCCACATTTTTTTGTAGGAAATACTAAAACATTTGAACCCGATTACTTTGTATTTAAGCTAGCAAGTGAAATGATGTAAATCAGGCAACATACGTGCCTACGTTGAAAAGTTCATCTTGTTCGCTTTCAGCATACTGGCCACTAAACGAACCACTACGATGTATAAAAAGCAAAAAAAGGACTCGAATAATGAATGTTACTCATCATATCCTAAACATGACGACATGACGTGGATAGCTCTCAAAATCACTAAAGATTGTTCAGAATAGTTCTACGTAATCGAATACCAAGTTTAAAGACATCGCCCTACGATCATAAGTTTCCGTACAAAAGATGATTAACAACACAATGATTAACCAACCCTGATGTTCTTTTCCTGGTGAGGCGAGATCCTCATAACTTTGCCATAACACTTTCCCACTTTCCGCATCGCGTAAACTCATCCAGTTTCTACAAATCCATATACCATTATCATCTAACCATACTATAATATACTATCGTATACAACACTATCATACACGACCACGATACAAGCGTTTTCAAAAGTTTTTGCATCCTTAGTTCACGTAATGTGAGACGAATTATTAGACCTTCCAGTTATTGCACAGTAAATTGTTACTCATACTGCTATGTGCTTCCATAAAAAAAAAGAAAAAAGCACAGAAAGTGCCAAAAAAAAACCATTTTAAAGTCTAAAAAAAGAAAGGTAAAGCCTAAAAAAAAAACCTAAACAGTGGTTTGTTACATGAATGATTGAAATATTACGATAAAACGCACAGCTTGAATCCATCCAAAATTTGCTGAGCTCGAGACATAATACTACATGATAAGCAGCATGAAGAATATTCTTCAACAGACTGCTCAGATTGAATCCATCCCGCAAAAAAGCAATCTCTTCTAGAACTGTAAAAAAAATTAAGTTTGTTAACAATTCTTGAATGTTTTAAAATATACGGAATTTTTAGGGAAGAGTTTCTATTGATCTTTTTTTTATTGATAGGATAGCCATTTTATAAGATCAGGAAGATATGCAGTGTAAATAAAGAAGGCGATTGTTTGGATCCTGCTGAAACCTAACTTTTCAGCAAATATTAAGAAAGAAATGGCTATCTTCGTAACCTAATATTTTATTTGTGTTTTATGGTCTTTAAGGAGGGATAGATGGATGCGTAGACAGCTTGCTGAGGGAAACAAAACCGTACAAGGCGTGAATTGAGTGCAGGATCTCAAATCCATGCTTACTTCCTATCGAATCCAATGGGACAAATGATGAGGGATTTGGGAAGTAAGTTCCTTCGAGCAAGGTATGCTGTTCACAACCATTAATAATAGCCAGGAAGGGTGAGTGGACACTCCACACTTCTATGCTTCAAATAGTTCAAATCGCGCAACTTTCTCATGGCAAGCACCTATCAGAGAGATTTGCAGCATGAAATGCATATGACAGTAGAGATGAAAACATATGCATATGACGTGCTAGCGCAAAGTGAACAGGGTGAAGAAAAGATGAAAGAAAAACTGAGAAGACTTTCAACGAAACGGTCGGTCTAGTGGACCCGGTCGCTAGGCGACAGAGCTTGAAGAATGCTCATATAACTTATCAATGCAGCATCAAATTTCGTGGCCGATAACATAAATGAAAAAATGCATCACTTTTCGATACATTAGAATAGAACTAAAAATTGAATTACTAAATTTGAATCGTATCAGATTAAAAATAGATTACATATTTGAAAAGGATAAAAAAGAAATTTAAGAAGACGAAGTGAAACTTGCAATCAATGCGGAATGTCAGAGAAACACTGATTTAATCGGGATATTTAAATTAGGTCTTCTCAGGCAAATGACACAGCAAAAAAATGATGTAATAATAATGAATGAATTTTAAAAAGACTTACAAATTAAAGGTGAAAACCTCGTTATCATAAATGACCACTTAGACAATATTACATATATACCATTGGACGTATCATTATACCTCCATCGCTAATATTGAATTGAATTTTGAAACTTGAAATTTCACAACGTGTTCAACGAAAGACTGCATTATCTGGGGAGGGTAAATCTGGTTAGGTTATTAAAAACCGGAAGGGGCGCTGTTGGTTCCGGAGAGTCTTCTCAGGTGTGTTCCATTAATCTCTTTATCTGATGAGAAATGAAAAAGAAAGATGTGATGTGTGTTGTGTGCATTTCTTCGTGTATCTTCATGATGCCAGTGATTCCTTGGCACATACAGTTTATCTATATAAAATAGCATGTTTTTGAAGAGAGGAAAGTACCTGATGAAATTTGAAAGTGTATGATGCAATGGTTAGTGAAATAAGGTAGCGATAAGAGATGAAATAAGTATGGTGAAGGTTCCGATATGAATTTTGGTTTGCTTCTTATATATATATATATATATATATATATATATTTATTTATTTATTATTATTATATATATATATATATATATATATATATTATTATT